GAGATCGCGAGTCGGTAGTTAAAGCTGTCCGAAATGAACAGATTTTATTTGGGAAACCAATCAGTGTTTATTATTTCGCGTGGGAGGACGACGTAAAATTCGTGTAGTAAAAGAACAATGAAACACCGAAAAATAAAAGGATTACTTGTACGATTTAGTTTCAACCAGAAAGATGTTTCATTAATAAAGATGTTGAGTGCCTTAAAGATCGTTCAAGAGGGATGATAAACGAAATAGAAACAAAAACGCAAGAACCCATAACAAAAAGTTAGATAATTTCAGTCTAAAAAATCTAGTTCGTATAATATTACGTAGAAAGGTAACAGTTAGGAGAAAATCAACCTTAATCGCGAATGAACATTTCCGATAAATGAATATAAATTTCGATCCAAAATCGATTAAACTAGGGAAATCATTCCGAAAGTCGCACCTCTAACGAACCGCCGCCGTTCCGATTCTGTATAATACGGAAGTCACCAATTTGCAAGGAAATATAAAATCAATAATTGATTCCTTTTAATTACTCAATTTTTTCATTGACATTAATATTTAACGAAGAATTCTTTTTGCATTTTAAAAAGGTGCCAATTTCAGTGAATTGGATATTTAAACCCTTATGTTATTTTGTAAGGAATCATCACCTAGTACCCCATTAGCAAGGATTGAGTGCCTTATGTAATTTTCATGTAAACGGATTGATTTGTTTATTCAGTGAGAATTTCCATGTAAATGGGTTCAAATTGATTCATCATAAGGTGTACTTACATACTTTATTGTGAACAAAGTCGAGCGTATTTTTAATTTTTCATATTAGGGTCAAATCAACGTTTGAAACTGATTTTAAACACCGGTAGTGTCTGCCATAATCTCTTATTTCCAGAAAGTTTAGAAATCCATGCCTTCGTTAATGCTATATAGACCAACAAAAAACTGCAAATAATTATAAATTACGATTATGTCACAGTTACCATTAAGTAGGTATAATAAGCTATTATCTATCAGGAACACAAAAATTTCACAATGGACACAAACAATTCAATGCGGAACCGTTTTCGTCTTAAATACAGGAAACCGTGGGCTCACGCATTTCATTTTGATGTCTTTTTCAACTATAAGACGTTGACTAATTGGAATTCCGGTGATTACGAATATTTGTTTGTTGTAGGCAATCAGTGTAGAACGTATATTACAAAATCTTTTTGTTTTTTAATGAATGTACAAAAAGAAGCAGCTTAGAAAACTTTTTTATTAACTTAATTAAGAAGTAAAAGTATTTGTTATAGTGTAATTACTGTTTACACTGAATTTTTTTAAACGGTCGCTTATTGAATTGAAGATACGGCGCACATCTTCCACCGGAAATTTCATTAGTTACGTACTTATTGTATGAACTTGCACTCGCATTATTGGCTTGCTCTTTTGATCTTAACTTTAAAAAAATGTAATTAGATGAAGTTCCGTGCCATAAATCCTTAGAATTTTTAAGTTGAAGCTTCGATAATCGATTGAATTTGCGGAACACCCTAAGAATCGTTCAAAGTTGAGTGAACTCTAAGAGGACATTACTAAGGTAGCCGGTTAAAGTACGATAAAACCAAAGTCCTTCTCAGTGAATTTTGTTTTACTCAAAATTGTCTAAAAGTACCTTTCATTTGATATTTTATTTGGCCCTCTGGCATCTATAGTTTAGGAGATGCATCAAATTAAGGTTTCATGTTTTTATAACTTTCGGAAAATAATGCCACCTGTAAGATGATCCAAAACCTAGAGAGGACAGGACGTTTATGAGGTGTTTAGAGCTAAACCTTTTGTATAGATACGAACTAACTCCCAACAAATAGGTGACAAAAAAGAAGGTGACTTTTCTGCACTTTATCACAGCGTGTGTGGTGAGTTCTTGCGAACAAACACAAAGTGCGATCATTTCGTTTGAATTTTTATTTCTGTATTTGCTTTTCCTTTTAGAAATTTGTGTAGATGCGTAAATTTCGTTTTAATTTGTAATAAGGTGCTAGAAGGTGTTAGAAATAAGACACATCTGGCCGAATTTTGCGTGAGTTATAAAAGGTTATATCTGGTCGTTTGCGATAAGAACATTCGTTATCGCTTGCATAAGGTAAAATTTAATTAGTTTTAAGGACGTGTTATCGCTGATAAAAAAGCAACAATTTATTTCGAATCTCGCTTTATTCAAATTTGGTTCTGTTTGCCGTTTGTTTACGAAATCTACATGAAGGAGATTATTTTATGATGGAAGTGGTGGATCCTTTAAATACGAGAAACAATGTTTAAACGGGACTTTTTATTTGGTGACGGTTGGAGTGCGTGATTTTTTTTCACGCGGTTATCTTGGGTAGTCGGCCCTATTTGTAGTTGGAGACATAATCGCGATTATAATAAAGCTGTGTAGAAAGGAGTTAGTGAAACTGTGTGTGAATGTGGTAGCGCATTTTATCTGCTATCGGATAAATTAGTAGTTCGAGTGAGAGTAACGTAATGAAGCCTTTCGACAAGGTTTGCCATTCATCAAAAGTAAAACAGTGTTACCGTTCGAAAAGTCACCAATGTTTGTCATGTAATTCAACATGCGAGTTTTCTTTTTGTCATCACGATCCAAAGGGGTTAGCAGCCCTACAAACGCTTTCCAAAGAGACGAACTGGAATCGTCAACTCCAGGTCAACGATAGAAAATATTTCCGGCTTCCATCACAAACTAGTTTTCCGCGAATGTAGAAACCACGTTGTGATAAATATTTTGTATTAGTTTGTTTGACGGCATCGGTCGAAGTTCACTTAGAGTACGGTCGAATAGCGTAACCGCACTTTGCCATTTATTATTATTTGTGCAAAGTTCACGATCCAAGGTTCTTCATGCGTTGGATTTTTATGTAGATTTGCTCTTGAACAAAAAAGGATTCAATGTTCATAGCCAATAAATCTGAATATATTTGAATTCGAACCTATTTTCGTACCTTGTCGCGCTACGGCGCCGCCGGCTCAAAACCGAATGCCTTCAATAATCTCCAGATTAAACCTTACCTATGTTTTTTAAATAGATAACGCCTTAAAATAGTGCTTGTTAATGAAATCGGCGATTTTTATCATGAATTTATCTGATTCGTTTTTTGCTCCACTAATTACCAGCGAACTAGACATTCGATATCAGCAATTTGGCCCCAGGAACCCCATTAAGATAGTTTTAACTTTTGATATCACCGACAGGTTGTCGCAAAGACCTCCGAAAGTCATTAAACGGTCATTGCGTATATACAGTGCGTTCGGAATGAAAGGGTCACCTCAATATCACTTTTATTTGGCGAGATACGAAAAATTTGTCAAATATAATTGTAGGTGACATTACGATCTATCCAACCGCATAGTGAAACTCCCTCTATCACTTCCAGGTTAACCGGAAATAGATGCAACCTTTGTTTTTCAAATGCAATGCCCATGTTTTTTAAGATATTTGAAAAGAGCAATCAATTTCATATCTTTATCTCAAACGCTTTGATTCCATTTTTAATAGCGATCCTGTATAATCGAGTCATCGAGACCAATTATACACGCGTATTTTTTTTATTACCTATACCGCAATATAATTTAAATATAAGGGAAATAAAATCATTTCGATTCCAACACATTTCTCATTAAGAAAGAAAATGAATTTGGTTGAAAAACGTAACAGATCGTTCATTCAGTAATTTGTTGCAGAAGCAGAAGAAAAGCCGCTACCTACAAAACCCAGTAAAACCTATTACAAAAATAATGAAAAGTTGTTGGCGATTGATGAATAGAAAGCCTCTTAAATGCATCGAAAATGCTGGCATATATGAAGGAAATTTTCAAAGGTATCCTTGTAGGTATACTTTGGTGCATTCATTCAAAACTTTAAACAATGCTGCGATTAAAAAATAGAACAGATTTTTCGATTATCTAGACACACCCAATAATGCTAGTGTTTAAAAGATTCATCTGGCACTATGGAGGCAATAAGAGGTTTTCGTTGTCTCAGTTAAACTTACCTCATAGTTCATTTCCATGAACACAAATATATTCACATAGGAAATTGTCAGATACATTTAACTGAGGCCAGAAAGCGGGTATTACACTGTACCTTTTTGCTTATGGGCAAGATTCTAACTTTAAATCCAACGGCAAAATGTCAAGTGTGGACAAAACGCTCAATGTAGCGCAGGCTCATTTTGCCGTGGGATTTAATGTTAGCGCCTTGCCCATAAGCAAAACGTTCAGTGTTTGGTTCAGTGTAAGTTAACTGAAACATCAATGACCGGCGCTTAGTGTATGTAGGATCTTGTGCCATTCCTGGCCACAACAAATCACGGAGGTGAAAAGAACATAATATGCCTTTACCAAGTTTTAAAATAATTGAGTGCATCAAAAAAGCTGTCTAACAGGCGATAAGAACAATACTAAACTGAATACATTTTAGCAGAGATAATTGTTCGCAAAAGGGTTGGTTGTGGGTCAATTATAGAAATATAGGCTGTAAATGGCAGTAGAAACTTGGACGAAGAACATGATAAAAAATACCTCAAAATCAGTAGATATAAATTGAGTGCGTTTTGTTTTTTAAGTCTTTAACTTGCAGGACCTTGGTGAAATTTGTCTGTATTGTATTAACTCATCAAACTAAAACCTTCCATACGATTGGTTTATGTCCGTAATTGAATTTATCATATCCTGTTATTATTGTGATCAACAAAATTGCAAATTATGTATTCTGTTACTGAAATCGTGATATGCCACTTATTTTAGTAGCAATTAGTAATAACATTTAACGAAAGAACTGTACTTCGAGGTTTTATCATTCCTCCCGCTCCCTAAAATATCAAAAATTTGGACCCCATACAATTTTTTGATCGTCTAATCCATGGAGGCGGCGCAAAACATTAACCAATGTCAAAGACTATCGGAGAGGAGGATAGTCTTTGCTAATACACCCTTGTCATAAAAAGGAGCATAAACATAAAAACACTTACCTGACGCAATTAAATTTGAAAGAGCACATGCGCATACTAATAACGAACAGTAAGACAACATGGCTTTAACATACATCCACCAACCATTTGTAACTATTAAACGTCACTACCTCAACACTACCGATCACTTCACTTGCTGGAAAACAACACGACTCGCTTACTTGAGCTGTTCCTCGAATTTGAGTATGGTACCACTTATCCACCTGAAACAACAAGTGAGAAAGCTAAATTAAATTTACAATAGACAATTAAACTTTTTTGTGTGGGAAACATAGGCGGATTCGGGGGAGGGCATTCCGTTTATTTATGATTGCGTATTAGTTACACTCAATATCCCTTCTTAAGGAAAGTAAGCGAGGAAAGTGTAATTTGACAACAAACCCCTCTCGAAATTTTCTCTCGGACCTCTACGCCTCTGGTGGAGTGCTATCTGTACACTGTGGGTCGTAACAAAGGCGTGAGTGCTTGTATTTTTGGAGGTTTTACGAGTAAATACCGTTGTAATGTGAATGCAAATTTAACCTACAGATTCACTAATTTATTCTCGTAAGGTCGTTCAAAGTAACAGTGCATACAAACGGTCTTGCTAGTTTATGGTGGCAGTCTTTAGCGTGATGCAATAAGGTATCAAGGTCGTGTGAATTGAAATTGGCGTTTCGTTGTACTGTTTAATGCATTATATGATTAATTTTCTATTGTACAAACCAATCATTAATGGCGTAATGGGATTTTGGCGTTTTTCCATTGAAACTAGTAAGGAATACGGTATGACCCGAATCAAAAACAGTTTAAACTTTGTTTTTTTCAAAAAGGCAATGCAAATGACAATTTGAGCATCTTCGGCGGCATCGAAAGAAAAATTTAAAAAAATAAATTATACTTTATGAAGAGTGATTTACTTCATCAGATGCTATAGCTAGAGAATGAAGTCGGCTATTCTCAATTCGCAGGATAGTATCAAGTTCCATCCACAATGAAGCAAAAAACTGTCGAAGGATGTACCTAACACTTAAGTCTTTGGTAAATGTGCGTGCACGTACAGACAACTCACTTTGATAGTTGTGCTCTAGGTTAATTACCCGGATTTTTTACTATTTCTATGTACGTGATATGCGGTGTTGCCCATAAACGAGATTTATTATCTGTCTCACTACACTTTCAATTACTAACAAAGCAAGGATATTATATGAGTTCAGGCTTGAAGACTTTGAAGTTGACTTAATGAGGTGTCGATGGACGTTTTGCAGCGAAGCTTAAATAGAGACTCTCACTTGGTAAAATGTACAGGTATGTATGAAGAAATCGCCCTTGCTTCATGATTTACCGCATATACCTTATGGCCTTCGTCGAGGTATTTCAGTAAAAATCTGGTGGGAGACCGGAATTCTTACTGAAATTTTCGAAAAGAATCTATACCGGTCGAGACCTACTTTTTTCGATCGTGTATTCATTTTTTGGCCGAACCGTGGATGTATATTTACATATGGTGAACGCGATCGTTGTTCTCGCGACCGGAGCCAGCGTCGCCTTTTTTAACAAGTTTAACGAACGTGGATGCCTTCTAAATACGCTACGAGTTGCCAACAGTATTATATTCATAATACGTTGCTGGTTTATGCGTGAAAGAGGCAATCGGACTGCTGCTATAATTTTCAAATATTAATATTGCGAAGCGTTACCGTATTAGCGTGTGTTCCCAAAGCCAAATAAAAATCACCGATGGCACCAAAGTGGTGAATCCAGCATCCAAGAGGGCGGGCCAACAATCGAAATACCACGGGTCAACTGCCGAAATATGAACCCACACTCCGGACCAACTGCCAAAATGTAGCCCAAGCCAACTACTAAAATATTTTTCCACGGTCCAAAAAATGTTCCAACGGTCAAGTGCCCGAATACGTACTGGCGATTATTTGGTTGGGTTTTACTTTGCCGCACCTACGGGCCCAACACATGGGAACCAAGGGCGGCCAGTCCCGGTAAAACACTCTCCAGCCGTGTTCAAGGGGAAGGAGTGAACTTGGATGAGCGAATTAAGGTAGGCTTTTTTGTTGCATTTGGTCACCCCAGGAAGGGCACATTTTTTCTTCTCTCCGCTGCCATTTCCGCTACCATTTTCTTTCTTTTTAACATTGGAAATGTTTATGTCTTCGTATATTGGTACAAAGTTATGAGTTTCGTTCGAGGCCAAAGTCAACGGTATCGCATCAAGTCACAAGTGACGATTGTACCGTACTCGGCCGTGATCGATAGGTTAAGAAAAAGTAGCGGATACTGTCGAGTACTTATAGTACTCAATTCTTTGGTTAATTCCAATTTAACATTCTCGTAGAACTCCTTTGATAGTATTACGAGCATGGTACGACGCTTATTACCGATTGATCAACTGTGTGCTGTAGCTCAGTGGTAAAGCGGTGGGCTGCATAGCCGGAGATTGGGTGTTCAAACCTAGGCTGTGGTAAGAATTTTTCATCTATTGCAGAGACGGGAATTTCCTTAGATCAGTTTCGAGCATTCTGCCGGCTACTCCGAATTAGGTTTTCCTCTAATTTTCCTAATTCGTATTTATATTCACCAGAGTAGTATAGAACAACTTAAGACCTTCTGCAAGGGCACCTCTAAAAGGCATTATGCGCAAGCCTGTTGAGGGCCTCGAACAAGAAGGACGATAAATAAGTTATTCAGAAGTGATCCAAGTGAATAAGAGTTATTTGTGTTTTAGATATATGCCTTCATGCGGTCATCATTTCCAATGTCTCCGATGGTTGCGTGGATTTCGAAATCTGTGAATTTTTAATTCGAAAAGGAAGCACTGGTGACCGTCGGGGTTGTTGAATTTCTGTAACACTGAGGGCTAGGACTACGGTCATATAATGCACAGATCTGGAAACCGTCTTGTTTGAGACAAGTCTCTTACGTGTCATCACTCGTTCCTCGCTCAGCTACTAGGTGGCGCATGGATCGAAGTATATTCATAGATATAACGGGCGATCAAAAATGAGTTGCTGTCGAGTCGCCTTTGGAAGTTCAAGTTAAATACGATTTCCCATGTAAACAAAAATTACAAAGGTCACTCAACAGCAACTCTTTTTTGATCGCATAGTATTATTATATATGAATATTATAATACTATAATTTATAATATTATAATAAATATTATATATAAATATATTAATATATCTATGAGTATATTATGGTGACTTTATAGAGACAGTGGCGATCGCCCGTTATATTGCATTGTAGTGACGCAACAGATGTCATACGTGTATTGTGTGTTGCCTACTTCTAATTTGAATTTTCGATGCAACCTCGCTTTCAGCCATCCCCGCATTAATATCAGTTTATGCTTTTGTTAGAACTCATTATAAGGAACTTACCCTTTTTTGCTTTGCCAATATAAATACCTGTTATGTATTTTGTGGTAAATAATAATGCATTATTGGTATATTCAAAACTTAATTTGGGTGAATGGGTACATGACAAGAAAAATTGAGAAAGTTGTGCTTAGATAATGCCCAAATTTTAATCTCCCATCAAGATCAAAATCGATACGTTACCTGAATTAGATCTTCAAATCAGCAAATACTGTCAAATGCAGGTCAAACATTGTTTGATTTATTTATGATGCAAACGTTATAGGTTACATTTTAATTAAAATAACACAATGGAATCTCTGGAACTGAAAAATCTAATCTACAGTATACCATTTCAACGAATATTCCAATAACAAATTTATTTATAAATTACGCCAGTCTTACGCGCAGCGATTTAAAACATTGTTCAGAGAGGCGCAAACGTAATTGTGTGTATTTAAAATACGTAGAATGAAAGACGTACACTTATCTCAAACAGCTAATGTAAGTGTGATGTATCAAGAATATGCAGATAAACGGCTCAGATTTCCAAATTATTAAGGAAAGGTAGACGAACAACAAAGGCAGGATTATTACGACGATAGCATCATTCCAATTTCACATACTCTTTACAGCAATCTCAAATCTAAATGGTAATTGCTTCATCAATAATATCGACGTTTAACAACAAAAGCTCCCCACGTAATGGCGGCCATCGGCGATAAGGAATGAAGGCGGATGTAAAGCAATTTTTCCGGAAAATATGAGTTCCAATTTCGACACCGGAGTAATAAATAGTTCGCGCTGTTATACATTCATTGTGCATATTTGAGTGATAAATTCTAAATTTGTTGCATTTTAATGTTGATATCTAATCGATAAATGCGTTAATAAATGACCTACACCACAGACATACATATATCTGTGCCTACACTAAACACCTCATTTATTTAAATGAATAAACAGTGCTTGTGGCTTATCACTCTCTCATCAGGTGCTCTAATTTTCTCAGAAATATGTAAGGATGCAATTATCTGCGTAGTATTTCATTAACACTCACAACACAACATAGTGTTCACTTCGGTGTTGCAAACTGTACTTGTGTGATTTTGATACAACGGTAACTATTTTCATTGTAGCCACCTAACATACAACATCCACTTGGCGATTGGGTACCAGGTTCAAACACACCGAAAGGGGATTGTTAAAGGATAGGAGCACAGAAAAGTAGAGATACATCACCTAATTCCAATTCGGCAGAGTTTCATTTGGGTACATCGTTTATCAATCAACTTGTTCTCACTTGAAGTAGAAATCCATGTCAAGTGAACGTTTATAATAAACTTAACAAGTTTCACTTTGGAACACTTCCGCTCAATTTTTATCACAATCGGTTTCATTTAGCATATATTTACGCACCTTTCAATTAATGGTAGGCGTATGAGAATCATAACCCGCAGCTTTATAAAGGCCAGTACACCGATGCGATAAGAATGTTAAACAATTACTTCATCATAAATATAAATAACAAAAGAATTGTCCGCACTACTTTCCTGAATCTATAACAGGTAAAGCACAACAAGAATTTTAAACAGCAGGGAGAATTTTTCTAAAGCAACACCTACCGCAATCCATTGTTGCATGAGGTTGAATGTTACAGTTTCTTGAACCTGTGAATTTCTCTAGGTATATTGTTTACAAGCGCAATCATTTGTTTTATTATGTAACGCTAATTTTACCGTTACCAAAAAATGTCATTATCTTAGGGTGGTTAATTCGATTAAGCTTCTCTCGTACACGTCCTTAACATAACTTTAAACTTTCACAATAAAAGTTTCTAAATCAAGTCGCAATTTTTAGGATTAAATTAAAAATCGCAAATTGGTGCAGAGCAATAAAACTGTACAGTGATTTAGGATAAATTATATGGTATAATAAAGAAGTTTGCTCGTTAAGGTAAGGCCTAACTGCTGGAAACTTGAGAATATTCCAAGCGCATCGCATAATTTGGTCAGTTACTTGTAAGGGCATTGCGACTGGACAATAAATTTAAAGACTTAGAAAATACGTACCGTATGGTTCACAGTGGAGTAATTCTTACATTTTCCACAACATAACAACAACGCAGTCACAATCATACTAAAGCATGCCTTTGTAATACATCCTCATAGCATATCAAAGAGAGTGGAAGAATGAGCATTGCTGACCTACTAAACAGTAGTTTCCATTTTGGTATAAGGTACAGTATAAACTGATTGACCTTCTTGGTATTCCGTAAGCGACATGCAGCCAAGATGAATCCTTCCGCTCATTTGGGACCGTTCAGTTGTCACGATTATGAAAAGTTCATGTGTCCTATCACAAAACAGTTTCAGAATTACTGCCGTTTGCGTCACAGAGGATCTGCGCTAAACGATAGTTACCTAATGTTAAATTCCGCAATCGTCATTATCAGTCAGGCAAACAAGGTATAGCTAATTGCCGGCTTGCCTATTTGCATAACTCATTAAAGTAGGAAATAATGAAAGCGAATTTAAACTACCTACTCTCAATAAACAGCCTTGATAAATTTTAGTTGGCTATTTTTTGCATGGTGTTACACTTTCTTGGTGAAGTTGTTTGTTTGCAATCATAGCTGTAACCACAGTTTATTGATGCTATAATCGAATGCTGTCTGTTCCGATGTCTAATTTTCACTTCTGATGAGTAAACTGAAAATGTCATCTTTCTTCAGACGGTTGTTAATCTTTTAACCCAAAAATGACACTTTGATGAAGTTTGACTTTAATTTGGTAAAAGTGCTGTCCACTTTCATTTAGGTACGCTATGAAATGTTAATTTATACAATTTATAGTTGCAACAATTTACTAAACTTCGCATTGCTTGGGCTCCTCGAAAGAACTAACTCTCGTAAAATAGCTGATTCTCAACTATGGATCCCCAGGCTCTACTGTAACATTTATTCAGGCACGGAATACCTATTGCCTATAACCCCTATGTTTTTAGACTTAAGTAAATGAATTATTCGGAAAATGAATTAATCGACACGATTTTCGTTTTCGACGAGGCAGATAAAAATTGCCTTTTTTTGCATGGCCACCTCATAAATCACACATAACTTATTTAAGATTGGAATATAAAAACCAGGGAAACCAAGATATTTCGAAATCTATCAGAGATATGTATAGGACATTATTATCAAAACTCCAAGTGGTGTTCTTTTAAATAGGAAAAATAAGGAAGAGACGTTGCTTGTTAGCCTTAAGGCGGATGTCTCGCCGTATGCTGTTCACCTTGCGACTGGAAAAGAGCGTGTACGTTTGTATACGTTAATTTTGTCAGGTAATCGACCTTTTTGGTTAATTGAAGACGCAGTTTCGCTACAATCAGGAGTATTATTAAGAAACACCATGCAAGTGATTGTAAGTTTTTCCTTATTTATTTGTGATCGAACACTTGCTGTGACGGGACGGGGAACACAAATATCTTTTATAGGAAAGGGGGAAATTACTTGATGTGTTTAGGTAGCCGGCTAAATTATAGAGCGGGTGGGTAAGGCTCTGCCCAAGAGATAGGTACTACCTTATTATTATTACCAGGGCGCCAAATCAGTACCACGCTGTAGTTCCCTGTGATCAAGAGGGAAAGGTGCTTGCTTCACACAAGGGGAAAAGTAAGATATAAAGTACAGTAGTGGCGACTGCGAATTTAATCAAATTAATAAAAAGGTAAAACTGTATAACTGTTCAAATTGTGTATTATATGATGTAATTAGGTATAATAATCGATAACCTACTAGCAGAATATAATTATTATAAGATTACGGTAACAGCCGATTGTTTTTATTACTAGGTAGGTACAATAATTTTGTTAAGGATGCAATGTTGACGATGGCTACGATCTTGTAGATACTGACAATGACTGCTTTTCAGTTTACAACCCAGGGGACAACTTGGATATCAAGCACCAATAAATTCAAGCTAAAAAATTTGTTACGTGTGAGTAGGTACTAATGAAAACGACTAAAAACAAAGAACTTTACCTAGATGTTATAGCTTGAAAATTCCAAAACACAATTACAATTTATGTGGACAACCACACAGGCGGCAAACATTCTTCCAACTTTCTTTAATCTGCATAAAGCAAAATATCGCTTCCAATACAAACTTCCCAGTACACAACCAAAGGGTAGGAACGATAATTGATGGTGGTGGTAATTGGTTAACCCCAGATCAGGGAAATTTTCTTAAATAATCTCTTTATTAGCATTAGCACCGACGAAAGTTAAACGGAAATTGTTCCTTGATAAGGCAATCTAAAAATTCCTTGAAAAATCCCAGATAAAATTTTGATAGCCTTTTAGATAGGATAATTATGCAAAATAGTAGCTTAGTGTAAAGAATACACTATGATAGTAGGTAAACATTTCCCTAAATGTATGCAACACGTCATGCTTAATTTAAATTTACCCGCCTGAATGGAATGAAACTGTTACATTGCGTGTGTAGTAAATGTAATATCGGGTTTATACCACTCTTTATTTCAGGTTTTTCTTGTTGATTTACTGCGTATGTGTTTCGGAATAATTTTTTTGTCATTGTTAATCAATTAATTGTGTGTTTATTTGAATCCATTGTACGACCCTGATGCGAGCACGTGCAGATTTGTCTAATTGTCCCCAAGATTTACCTCAGGTGTTTCAAATTTTGATTGATTTGAGCTAGCTGGACAGGCGGTTTGTATATGTGGTGTAATTGACCGCACGCCATTGCACAAAGCATTATAACGGGTGATCAAAAATGAGTTGCTGTCGAGTCGCCTTTGGAAGTTCAAGTTAAATACGATTTTCCATGTAAACAAAAATTCCAAAGGCGACACTACAGTAACTCAGTATCTCAAGAGTGGCGCTAGTAGTAGCCTGCATGGTACAGAATCAACAAAGTTATGTACGAGAAATGAAGCAGCAGACTTTAAAGTAGTATAGAGGACGTTACCATTGCCGATGTACGTAAAGAACTACGAGTAAAAAATAAGAGGAGAGAACCTTGTATTAAAAGGGGCGCGACGGATGGATAAAAAGGAGGTTTAGAGTGATGGGAATCGGGTCACTAATGGCAGTGGCGTAATAAAAGAAAACTGGCATCGTCTCTTCTGTTTTATCATCAGTCAAGTCATAGCATTGTATATGCTAATAAATATACAATGATCATAGTCAACATCACTGACCAGCGCAAAGGAGGTAATATGATGGTTTGATGGCTACTTCTGTTAGAGATGGCTTGGTAAGAAAAATAATATAGTTCGTTGTTGGTATGGTTACATAATAATAACAAGATTGTAAAATAAAAATACAAGTTGCGTTTTGATTTCTTGTTGAAGAAACTACGTATATCAGCGTGTAGGTACACCAAATTAGCGGCCCCGTTCCTCAGAGTGATAGTTTTTTAACAAGTGGCGACCGTGACAGGACAAGTGGGTAAATTTAGGTGGTGTACAACAAAAAGTTGAAGATGACTGAACCACTCAAAAAACGACGTACTGTAGCCCGCGGTGCTTTTACTCGAGCTTTCAATACCTTTATGGAGACGGTTTGTACGGAAACCACTTTGGACGTTAAGCAAAGCGCGTTTCAATTACTAGAAATACGGCTGAAAGAATTATATACCAGTCAAGAACATTATAACAAAAAGTTGTTTCAGAGTGACATGTCGGAAGATGAAATTAGTGCTGAATTGGAATCAGATGATACGTACCATAAACAATTTATCGACGCGAATATCGCAATGAATAAATTTCTTGCATCTGCAACACAATCTCCTGAAATCGTTCCGTCATTTACACAGAAAGCGTTATCGAAATTACAGATACCGAAGTTCGAGGGATCGGTAAAGGAATGGCTTCCTTTTTGGAGTCAATTCAAAAAGTATCACGAAGATCCGACTTTAAGCAATGAAGTGAAGTTTCAATACTTGTTACAGGCTACAGTCGAAAAATCTAGCGCCAAGAATATAGTAACCAGTTTTCCTCCCACGGGAGATAATTATGAAAAAGCGATAGAAAGTTTGAAGAACCGTTTCGGACGAGATGACCTCGTGAAACAGTTTTATGTACGAGAGTTATTAGCCCTTGTACTTCAGAATGCGTCTGACACAAGGAAACCGAAACTGTCAGATTTATATGACAAATTGGGATCGCATTTACGGGCACTCAATTCATTGGGTGTAATGAAAAAGGACTACGCTACGTTATTGTATCCTTTGGTTGAATCTTGTCTTCCTGAAGAGGTCCTACGAGCATGGAAGCAGTTCAGTAGGAAAGACGGTTTAACAACTGAATCGCATGACCAGCTGACCCAATTG